AGTCGCCACTGCCACTCTGCCCAGCTCCACGGGGCCCAGGGGGGTCATCCTGATTTCCCCCCCCCCTTGCGTAGGGATGGCCCTTGCAGCCCAGCAGGTTTGTATAACATCTCTGAGGCTGAACACGAGTCTGGCAGGTAAAAGTGGGGCCATTTTTGGCTGCTTGTGGCCCCTTTTTTGCTGGATACAGGGCCCTCTCACCAGTTCTGAATTTTTTATTTTTTTTTGTGGGTTTTGTGTATAGGTTGGCATGGGGCTATTTCGCCCTTCAGGCTGGAGGCAGGAAGTGTTGCAGGCCTGTCCCATGGCTCAGGGCAATGGGTTCTGAACTGTCATGCAAAAAGTTGCATGGGTGGGGGCCCTTCCTTGGTGTCTGGCAGAATTGCAGGGGAATGGGGCCAGGACTTGGGCACTGCTCTATACCCCAGGCACAGTTTGCAAAGACGCATCCTCACTGACATTCACAATGCTCAGAATCAAGCATGAACAGGAATGCAGGACTCAGCATGCCCAGCCCTTTAACTTTTCATCCTAGAGCCCTACCTTGGGTCTGATGGGCTCAGGAACTATGCTTGCATCACTATGGACTGGAAGAAGAGCTTCCACTCAGAACCTCCATTAAAGTTAATTCAATCATGGTAATAAGCATTTATAACACCTTACATTTACAATTTCTGGCCTGGGCACCAACAACATGGCCATCTGTGTCCTGTGACTGCACCCCAAAGCCTGACCACTGGTGGGCTCAAGATCCAGTCTGAGTTATGCTTACATTGGGGCAGGTGGGGAAAAAAGCCTTGACCCCTTGAGAAGGCGCACCTCTGCCCAGCCAGAACTAGCCATGAGCAGCCCTGTATTCACAGCCTTTCCCCTCCCAAGTAGAATATGCATCCCTGCACACATGGAGCAGCTTGGCAGGGCAGGCTTCTGTTCCTGTCTCTTTGTGTGGGTTGGACGTTGGGCATCTCAGCCCCTCCCCTTCTCCAAAGGAAAAGAGAACAGACAAACTTCTTCAAAGGCCAACAAATCAAGACAGGTTTTGAACTCAGGCTGACAAGGGCAGCTCATTAACCAATAAGATACAGGAGGAAGCTTTGCTAGCTACTTCATACTCCTCTCCTCAGTGGCTGGCAGCCTTGCCAGGGAATGGGGCTGTGCTCTGTGTCCCAGCCACAGTGTGTTTTGTGCCGAGAACATAATTCATGACCTAATATACCTGGCCCCTCAACTTTCTAACCT